AGGGTAAAACGTACCGGTCACGATGTTGTTGTGCTCGTACGCCAACCGCTGATTGGTGCACATCATCACCATGCCCTTGGCCACACCCATGGCCGCTATCGAACCGGGAGCCGGTTGATAAGACGACGTCTGAATGTTGTTGTTGAATTGTCGGTGGTGGTTGTTATTGTTGTTCAGCTGTTTCTGTCCACCGCCGCCACCGCCGTAATAGCCGCCAAAGTCGTCGAGTTCGTACTTGACGACGTCGGCCCGATGATAGGGGTGGTGCAAGTGTTGGTGGCCGTGGTGTTGATGGTGGTGCGGGTGGTGATGCGGGTCTTTGCCTGGGCCCGTGGCTGGTTCCATGGGCGACAGCTCGGGCGTGGGAAGCGTGGGCGTCTTGCTGGCCGACCGCTGTTGCAGCAGTCCACCGTCTGGGGCCTGTCCACCACCACCGCCAGTCTCGTCGGAGGCCGTGGCCGGGCCGGCGGGTTTGTCCGGGTCGGGGCTGCACGTGGGTGAAGACTCGGGAGTTATGACCTCGGACACGCGGACGGGCGAGTATGGGCTCTCGCTGTTCGGGTAGTACGGCGACGTCGTCTTGGAAGGGCTGTACGGCTGGTACGCGTACGGCTGCTGCTGGTGGATGGCCGGTGACGAGTACGACGATGAGCTCTGGTACGGCGAGCTGGACGGGTACTGGACCAGCTTGATTTGGCCCGCCGAGTTTGGGCGCCGGGACGTGGGCGAGTGTGCGGAGCCACCCTGCGCCACGGCCGCCGACACGCCGACCACGGAAGTCGGCGAGCCCGCCCGCTGCTTGTTGTGCTTCCTGCGCCTGGGCCTGTACTTGTAGTTGGGGTGTTCTTGCATGTGGATCACCCTCAGCCGTTCAGCTTCCTCCACGTACGGCCGACGGTCTTGTGGCGTCAGACTTCGCCATTTTTTTCCTGAAACATGCGACAAGTCACGTTATAGACATCGTTTATTTTTAAACCTTAAAATATGATAATAATAATAATATAATGATTTTAAATATGACTTTTCTAGAAGGGCGCCGGGAATGAGTACATAGGGTGTGGTTACCAGTTCTCTGGCATATCGTTTTTTTTTTTATTTAACCGTCAACTGTATACAAATGTAATGTAACTTGACGAGGGAGTATAACACGATATATAATTAATAATATATAAATATACGATGGCAATCTAATTCTTGTATTTTATATTGTTTTGCATTATTGTATTTTTCATAATATTGTGTCTTTACGCCTAAAGATTTCTTTAAACACCACCGAGTTGAATTTTTGTACATCATAACGTGGCTTTGCATTATTGTATCGAAGTATACAACGTCCAGTGTAATATTATCATATTGGTTCACTAAATAGTAATATTATATGTTTTCGGAATTTTGATTTTCATAACTTTTGTGTATAATACACAAAAATCGTTTGTGGTTTAGGGGGGGGGATTGTTCGAAAATTTTTGTTTTAGGTACGCCGGAGGAAAACGACCGCGGATAAACACTTTTGGTAAAGGCCCGAAATTTTTTTCGGGTGAGGGATCCAAAACATATATTATGTATTGTAATTTTATTGAATTTAGGTTTGATATTTGGTTAAAAAAAGACATATTGAAGAAATTTCGGGGGGGGCATACCCCCTGGACCCCTAGCTCATATACGTCCTTGCGCATGTATACATACGATAATAATATAATGTTATAATGGAACATCTAACAATGCACAGCTCGTGTACCGACCTAAGACCGATTAATTTATGCGGCCGACGTCTGCGTGTAACACGCGGCAAGACGCATAAGAAATTCCCTGTAAGGGAAATAATAATAACGAGTGTCTCGTGTGTTCATCGTCCAGTACACACGACGAGAATATGAATATTTATAAATATTGCATTATCATGAGTACAAAAACCGCATATTATTATATTTTAGTTATCATTGCGTTTCCCGCCCGTCGGATACGACTTCGACAAATTGGCCGGCGGATTGTGAACGATATTATTTCACTACTCCGAACGTGTGTTTTGCCAAGTCGTTCGCAGCAGACGGCAACTTGCGGGCCGCCTCAGGCTTCACGAGTTCCACATGTTACATTATACGCAGACGATCTATAAAAACTGTTGGGGGCGTTATTTTCGACAAATATCGTTAGAAAGTGAGTGGAAAATATGAAGTCGGTATTAAAAGGCTCGTTGATTTTTTTTTTTTAGGAGGGCGCTTAGCACCCTATAATACCAACCACCATCCCCTATTCGGGACACTGACCACGACTGCGCGGCTGTCATTAGAATACGGATCAAAAACGATGGAAAAAAACTCCCATCTCGAATAAATCTCAAAGGTCATTGTGATAATCGTCTTATCGAAGAAATCGGATCCGGAGAGGCGGTATTACAGACTGATGGATAGCTGCTGTATAGAGTGTGGCCGCTGTGTTGCGACGCAGATGCGATATTATTATAATATTTTAATATTATATTATACAACCACGACGGTAGTCCGGCCTATAGGCGCACCACTCGTTTATCATCATTGTGACCATACATCCAGTTTAATCGACTACTGATCGTAAAACTTAGAATCCAGAAGCACCGGACGGATTACCTATACGTGTATCATTATCGTCAGTGATATCTATCGTCGTCCCGCCGCGGCCGGCCTGCAGTCTGCGTTTACCATAATAACAATAATACGATTAGGTATCGTACACGACCGCTGTCACGAGCGAGTGTGAAGAGCGACCAAAAACAGAAACACTCGGTCGAGAGGATCGGTTTAAGCGTACATATGGGTATTAAATGTACATTGTATATTTGTATATCACATATATTACGTATACAAGGAGCGTATAATGATGATAATATATTCGTTCCACCACAACAAGGTACACTGCATGTCTCAGGTGGCGTGTGGGGGACTCGGAGGGGCTATGATAGACTACTGCAGTGTCTAATATGTCTATATAGTGTCTCCCGCGATGTCGTCTCGCACTCTCAAAATAAAACGATTTCGTGGGCGTCCCGATTGAAAAACACTCGCAGGGTGACATTTATTCTTCAAAATTAAATTTTATTTCTTTCAAGTGAAACGCATTATTCAAAAATAATATTTTAAGCGCAAACAAGTGTTAAGTGAAATTTTGTATAAAATGTGGCATCGAATACAATAAACCTTTTATAATATTATATAGGTAACGTATTCTCTTATGCGCAAATTAGGTGTAATATGAATATTACTGTCGGGACTGTTTTACGGAATTATGATAATATTACCTCTATTATTTAATTAATGTATTTTTGTTCGCAGGAAGTTATATAAAATATTTTACAAGAAATTGTTTTTATTATTTCTTGATACATTCCCTTGCAAATCTTTAAATATGCATACATGAGTACTTAACACTTGTGTGCGCTTAACCATCTATATTATTATGGTTTATGAGACGGAAAGATCTGCGTAATATAATAAGTTAAATAGGTTTAACGCTAGTTAAACTGAAATACAAGTAAAATAAAACGGTGATTTAAATAATGCCTTTAGAACAACAAACAATAAGATACAATGTATACAACAATTAATTAATGTGTATCCCAACCGACCGATTTGTATATCATATTGTAATAATATATAATAGGTATATGAGGTACCTATAGGTATCTATAATACCACAAAACGCCTAGTGAAAAATATTTCACCTAGAAACGATAATCGAGATTTCAATAAATATTCTTATTGACGTTTAATTGCTTTTCGTTTTTAATGCCGCAAAGAGATTATAAAATAAAAACCTTAATAAAAAAAAGACCACGGGAGACCGATCCCTTATGGACTCGAGCCGCTTTCATCGTCGCGGGCATGACGCGTGTTAAACCACCTGATGATAATTATCACAAACGGTAACTGACAAAGATTCCGAAATGAGTTTTCATTTTTTTTTCTCTCTACAGATTGATCATAATAATTATCGACTATCTGCACAACTTAATCAAAATCCTATGCTGCGGTGTGCATTAAGTTTTCAGATTCATCGAATAATTATAATATATAACGCACGTAGAGTTCATCGAAACAGTTGTCCCCGGGACACGCGTGAATTCGAATATAAAATATAAGAGTGTGTTGACGTGTTGTGAGTATAATATAATAATGTATGTAATAATATGAAATGCCCGCTTTAGAAAACTTAAATGTAAATCCGATGACACAAATATTCGTATACATATATATATATATATAATATGATATATTATTATGTTTATATGTATATTATAATATATATACATACATAAAAAACAAGAACTTCCTACGTATTTATCACTCACGTAATGCGCGTATACTGCATATTATTATAACAAGCATGATATTATGAGTAAAAAGGGGGGGGGGAGAAACCGAGAAGAAAAAGAACGCGATGTAGAGCACGCGGTCGACAAACGCATATGATATTATGACATATATTGTAATAAATATACATACACCTAGGTAGTTTGTTTAGCCGAAATAATCTAGGATTTTACATAATAATATAATATAGTCCACACCGATTCGAAACTTGTTTTATTTTAAACAGAAGTTATATAATATTGTACGTCACGTATATATTATTATTTAGGTGCAGCCGCCAAAAGTGTTAACCATACGCCCGGGCACACACTATTTGGACCGTTTGCCCGACAACAGATGACCATAATTATAATATCTGAATTCTGAATGTGTAAAACAGTATGCTGACTGACTGATCTATCGACGTACAGCTCAAAACATTGGACGGATCGGGCTGAAATTTGGCATACAGATAGCTATTATTTTCCTTCCATGTGCACAGCGGAATTATACCCAAAAGGAGATAACTAATCAAATTTTTTTCCCGGGCAACGCCGGGTGATTCGGCTAGTAATATTAAAATATGATATTACCAAATCGCGTTTGTAAACAATTTATAACAACAGAGTATATATATTGTAACAATACGGACGCCAAACCTGCAGCCATATTATTATGATAGAACCAGAAGACAAAAACGATAGAGAAGAAAATGATATGGTCGCCGTCCGATTCAGGGACACCAATCTGGTGCCGATCGTGTGGCAAGCGAGTCACATGGCCGGGTACGCTCTGACGGCCGTGGTGGGCTTGGCCAGTGGCGTCATGTTCTACCTGGCCGTGAAACTGTCGAGTCACCGCTGTTACCTGTACAACGCGGCTATCACCGTGCAGGAAGTGTCCAGGGAACAGAACCAGACGCTCCTGTCGGACGACCGGGTCTGGTACACGAGCAGCAGTTGTTACGACACGTTCTCTTTCTCGTTATATGCGTGCATCGGCTCGGTCGTGTGGATGAGCATGTTCCTGGTGTTTGGCCGCGGCGGATCTTCGGTCACCGAGTTTGATCACAGCAAATACTTCAGGTCCGTTGTTTTAATCTTTTGCGAACTCTGAGCGGGCTACTATATTATTATAACACCGATCGACCCCGATCTGACCTCTTTTTTTTGGTACCAGGGATTCGATATGAGCCGGAGTGTGTTTTCGTAGTCGTCGTGGAGTTGGTTTGAAATGCATCAGCTGGAATTGAATGTCAGACTCTTGCGCGAGAGACATATTTCAGTGATTGTTTCAGGGTTTGTTAGTTTCTCAGTAACGACGACCATAGGCACAAATTGACTATATTGTTTGGGGGGGGGCCTCAAGACCCCCTCCCCATAGGCCATATTGCTTAGTACCACAGAATATAAAAATTAGTAATTACTAGATTTTGAACTGGAGGGACTAAGTCCCCCCAAGCCCCTCTCCCTATTTGCTCCAATAACGACGATGTTATTACATACTTTGGGGTTTCATCTCATTTTTACATGCAATTGCACGTGAACATTTTTCCTTTCAGAGATATTTGGAAAATTAAATTTAGGTATATTATTATTATGTATATTATCGCATACTGTTATCACTAGTTTCCACGGTCTCTTCCCGAGAATGTCCCTGCACGAAACAATTTCTATACTAGTCCGTAGTTTTATTATTTTTTTTTCCTATTTAACAGTGACATGGTCGGACAGTGGCAAGTGGTCTTCTTCGCCAGTTGTTTCAATTTTTGGTATTTTTTATCTTCGATCTCAATCTCTTTACAGTTTACCAACGGCTATCGATTATTTGTCGCCACCCTATTACACCTACCGGCGGACAACGACTTTCGCAATCGATTGTGAGTATAGGATCAAAATTAATTTCCACAACTGCTGTGTCGACGACCGCACTATCGATTTGAATATTTCATAATAGGTATTTTGTTTCAGTGAAATAATTGAGAAGCCATACTACATCAGAACTATGGTAAGTATGTAATGTCCATACAGACCGACAATTTATAGTATAGAGCTGTAATTTGGCTAGACATTTTTTGTCTATATTTACTATCTAAGAATCAGGGTTTTCGTCTACATAAAAGATCAATTTTACATTTTATATTCTTCAAAGTTAAGAATTGTTATCTAATTATAAATATTAAGAAACCAAAATATTGTAAGTAATTATAATTTGTATTGTTTTTATTGCAAAACGCAGAAAAATATACTACAATATATGGAAGGTCAGAACAGTTCAATTATGGCTATTTTGAATACAAAATAGTAATAATTTAAAAATAATACACTCAACGAAAATAATACAAAAATAATTAAATGATAATATTAAGATATTATTTATCAGCGTATTATTTGTTTCACTATCTGACCCATGTGCAACATATAATATCAAGACCATAATAAGGACAATACGCGCAATCAACTTTTTTTGTTTTCATTAATTTTCGAGTAAAATCATAAATCTCAAAAAAATAGTGTTTAAAGGTTTGACATATTATTATCTTGTCTAATTATTGTTTCAAAAACATTTACCTAATAGGTTATATACCTATATAGATACATTTAAATTTAAATTTTTTTTTTATATAATAAAATATAAAACCAAATAATTATAAAATACAAAATATAGATGTATGTTCAAACCTTAAAAAGGTGGATAAGTGGGAACCGCTCTGCTGTACAGTGGTTGTAATGGATGTGTTATATTTAAATACAATGATAAACCATATTGTATACGAAAAACGATTCTGAGCGGTTAGCGTAGTCCTTGTAATTTTATTATTTTTTATTCGTTGCTATGATGGTGATAAACAAATCGTTGCAAATTAAAATCCCATTTTTAGCGGTCTTACGTAAATTTTCGAATATTTTTTGGAATATTCAATTTTGACCTCCCAAAAGTATCAACTAGGTTCAATTTTCTATCAGAATCTATTCTGATCTCAAAAATCGAACAAACTTACTATCCAAAATGTTGCTTACAGACAAAAAAAAACACATCATTGTAAAACCAATACATTCTTTCACTCCGCTCAGAATCTAAAAGTATATTTTTTATAATTTTTATAGTTAGTAATTTTACTCTAAGATTACTCAAAAACAATTTTGAGTGAGTGTGTGTTGTCTATGCTGCAAGTTGGCCAGAGAGAGAAAATAATGTTTATAGTAAAATTAGTAAATAATTTGATATAACTTGATTGAAATTCGGTATTTGTAAGTACTATCTGCGATACAGATTCTAAAAATCCCTGCCAGCATGTGGTCGTTTAAAAAAGTCCAGCCCAACCACCAATTATATGAATTGAATACTAAAAATGTTCGTTACAGGTGTTATTATGGTGTCAAAGTTGTTTGTGTACGTTCAACTTTCTATTGATTATTTTCCGTTGTGCTATGGGTGTAGACTTCGAAGTGGATTTCAACTATGACGATGGTGAGAACAACGAGTCGGACGATGGCGACAACAACGAGCCTGTCGCCGGTCCTTCAAATCAAACGAATATAAAAAGTATGCAGAATAATATGATATTGTACGATGGTATCAAGCTAGATTATGTCGGGGTCGGCGTCCAGACACCGTGAAAAGTCTGAAGACAAATTAATACTCTCAGAATTTACAAAAATAATAATTTAGTATTTTTCCTCGTCAAAACGATGATTTAGGACTTATTTTCAAATATATTATTATAATATTGTAATCAAATATATATATTTATTATTTATTCATCATTAACCTCGTCAGAGTTCTAACATAATAATATATGGTAATGACTAATCACTAATGTTATTCGTCTAAAATCATCCCCCAAAACGACCGTGAAAAAAATCACTCCAGCATTTTCCTTTATTTAAATTTTATATACAGTAGAAACATGGTCTAATGGTCATATTACGCACTTGTCCAAAACTTTTTTAAGACTTATTTTTCAATAAAAAAAATATATATATATAGTATATACCGATAACCTCGATAATGCTATCAAGTATCAAGACACTGATTTAATCAGACATGCAACGTGACAATTGTATAGGTTCATAGATTAGAAAAAGTACAAATTAAATAAAAATTGTACGATTTGTACGTATACCTACGTATCAACACATACCACAATCAAGAAAATAAGATAACCTGTAGGGACCAGAAAATAACTAAAACATAAATAATTATAATGATAACTATATTAACTGTTATTACGTACATACAACAAAAGTGCAGCTCCTATACCTATAGGTACAATTGTAAAAATAAATAAACATAATGTAATAATATTTACATAATTAATAGTTAGTGTGTAAAATTTAATTTATTATAGAATAAAATATTTTTGAATTAATGAAAATATTAACAGTGGGAAGGTTCTTTTTTTAGCCTTTGGGGATGGATTATTTTATTTTATCACATGTAGACCATTTTGTATCCAGCGCACATACATATTTATATATATATATATTAATAAATCGTTACATAAATTGTTATGTCAAACATCATAATATAGTGACATATAGTACAACATGGACTTTGGTGTGGTTATTCGTTACATCGATATAGTGATGGCGAAAAATAGACAAAAATAACGGACGAAATGGGCAGAACGAAAAGCGAAAACGAATATAATGAAATATACCGTTTGCACGTTACGAATTTCTGTGGGTAAATTTTTTTTCGGTTACACGAAAAATAAAACTATTCCGGCGGTTTCGGTCGTCGCTGTAAATTAGTAGTAAAAGAAGACGAGATGAAAAAAAAAATCTTATAAAAGGAACAAGCCGGTCACAGGTCACTAACGGGGTTAGACGAGCGTAGTGGGTGTCGGTCGGGCGGCGGCGTTATAACATTAAACTAGTGATGATCGATACGAATTCCTCGATAATTATTACTGAACAAATTGATTTGGGAAAACGAAACGGGTGAAGGAAAAAAAATTCTACTTTATTGGTGTTATAATATATATATATTATATAGGATTAATATTTCGTATAACATTTAGGTATAACGATATGTGTAATACAAAGTCTATAATAATATAATATTATATCGTATTATGTGCACCGGGCCGCTCAGAAGATGGGTTTAATGACTGGCGTATATTATATTATGCTTATAGCCGTCGATGATGGCGGATAGGTGTGAAGTGTATGTTCGTGTATGATATGTGACGGACGCTCGGCGGATCATTAATAATGGACACCGTGGGATGCCTATATATATATAAATAATATAACCGACTAAACAAGGCGTTTACAGTCTTCGTCGTCGCGGTGTGTTTGGATTCTCCTCTCGAGTTACGATAAAGTATAGGTAATAATATTATACGGCCGAAGTTTAATATTATTACACGACGATGACTAGGCGGCGCCCGCGAGTAAAGCCCGACGGTCGTGTCCTCTGCCGGGTGTGCGACGTGGTTGAAGGGAGTGAAATTTTCCTCCCCGACGATTCTCTCGTCCTTATCAATTAATCCAAAAAATATTATTTAGTTCCGCGAAGGAATAGACAACGATAAATTCGCAGAGCGTACTTAAATTATATCTTGAGTTTACGTCATGTAGAAGTCAGTTTAGGGACGTCGCCGTCGTGCCAGGGTTGGAAAAAAAACAAAAAAAAATGTTTAAAACAAAATCTTTTTTTTTATGTTTTAAACACAACAACCCTGTTGCACCTGTTGCAGCAGATTTGGTGGCCGGCTATTAGAGCGACCGAGACCAATATGATACCGCCAACGCGATAAGAAAATGCGGCGATTGGTGAAAAGTCCTTCTCGTTTCACGCGGTGCAGGTTTCGGGAAACATATAATATACATATATTATTATGTGTAATGTGTGTGTACATGGTTATATAGTTATTTAGTCGTACCAGTAAGTCTATATAGGTACTGTTGCACGCCAGCTCGCCGCGAGCGCACTGTGTGGCCCCGTAACGCCGGTCGTTTGTTTCTGAAATTATTGCTCGACCGGCCAAGGACGACGTTGCGTGCGCAATATATATATATATTTGCAAACGATATTTCGCCGTCCGACAACAACAATAATATAATAATATCGAATAATTGGACGTCGTCGCGCAGTCGTTTAACCTA